AAAAGGACTTCTTGTTTTCCTTGATCCAGGAAGCTAGTCCCAGTCCTATTTCTGCCTTGGCCTTCCTGACAGCCGCCCTACAATCCTGAGCAACCAAGGTATAATCCTCCGTGGTGATGGCCCCCCCTTTCCATTGGGCATACACCTCCTTCTTAGCGTGGAGGTGTTTGTGGATGCTTTTGGTGAGCCAGGGGGGCTTTTGAGCACTCTTGTGCCCTTTGATCTGTGTTGGGATTGCCACCCTCTGGGCTTGGAGGATCATCTCCTTTAGGAACGACCACTCTTCCTGGACTCCCAACACCCCTCCCCTCCAGGACCTCAGTGCCTCCCCGACTAGTCTCCTTAGCTCAATGAAATCCACCCTCCTGAAGTCCAGGGCTGCTGTCTCGCTGCAGGCCTTTGTCACCCTATGCTGGATGAATTCAAGAACTTCAAGAGTGATTTGGAGGGCTGATGAGGCAAGTGCTCAAGGGAACAACCTGCTCCAAGGAGCTAATAGGGGCACGCATCTTTGGGACAAAACACGGGATGAACGGCATCCTCACCGCCAGTGCTGCCTGCGGTTCCCAGGAGCCACTTGTAGTTTGAGCAGGGGACCGTACAGGGCAGCTTGTGAGAAAGGCACCCCAGGCTTAACCAAAGGGACAAAGCTGACCAGATAAATCGATGCACAAGGCCTCGAGTGGCTTCTTCCTGACAATGAAAGACCCAGTTAAGCCACTGCAGCCGAGACGCACACTTAGTCCTTTGCACTGCTTCAAGTCTGTTAAAACCAGCCAGAACTGTGCTGCCTCCCTGGTAAGACAGGCCCTAGAAGGGGGGACTGGACAGAGACAGGGACAGTGCCAGGGTGCAGACTGACTGACACTAAACAGGGCTCACGAGGGATTTGTGCTGGACTTGCCCTCAGAAAGGCCTCTTCCATCCTAGGATCATGGACAACAAGGGTGAAGGGACCTCAGGAGTCGTCTATCCAACCCCTGCTCCAAGCAGGACCAGCTCCACCTACATCATCCAGCTAAGGGCTTCAAAATCTCCAAGAATGCAGATTCCCCCACCTCTCTGGGGAGGCTGTTCCAGTCTTTACTGGCCTCATGAGAAAGTTTTTCCTAATACCCAACCTTAACTTTCCTTGCTGCAGCTTGAGCCCATTGCTTCTTGTCCTGTCATCTGCCCCCACTGAGAACAGCCCAGCTCCATCCTCTTTGCAGCCCCCCTGCAGCGAGGTGAAGGCTGCTATCAAATCCCTCCTCAGTCTTCTCTTCTCCAGATTAAAGCAGCCCAGTTCCCTCAGCCTCTCAGTCATCTTCCTCCAAAGCAGCAGCCATGTGTCAAGACAGGATCTGCTGCTTCCCAGTCAGCTCAGTGCGGGGCCTCAGGGAAGGGCACTGGGGCTGCTCTACGGGGCTCAAGCACTTCCCCCTTCCAGCAAGTCAGGGGTTTGTGGCCTTATGAAGAGGCCGGGGGCAGCCACGACTGAAGAGTAATGGGGCCATGCCTCAAGCCTGCTGCTTATGCCAGTAATTGACAGGGCTCTCGAGCCTGTCTACACTGCCTGGCACCACTGCCAATGGAGGGGCGCAGTGTAAGGAAGTCAGCCTTATCGATGACCATCACTAGCATCTCAGAGAGCAAGGACTGTGCTGCTATTGACTGTATTGCCTTGCATACAATACCTCCCCCCCAAAAACTGCTGCAATTAGAATGCCCTTCACATGTGAAGAAACACAGTAAGGGAAGGAGAGGCAAAGCCTGCAAGAGAGTCAAACAATGAGCAGGCTCAGCTCCCTCTCTGCAGCTACTCAGGAAAGATCTAAAACAAGTTGTGCATCTTATTTCAGGGCATACTGTCTGCAAGGAAATGCGGTACACTGAGCTAAGCCAGGCAAGTTGGTACAGGAAAGGGTCCTTTCCACACACCAGATGAAGCTCAGGGCCAACGCTGCTTGGATAAATTAAACGAGCTGGTGGTGGGGAAAAGCCACGTGTGGCTTCCAACCTAGTTGTGATCTGAGTCCAGATGAAGGTGTTCTGGGGCCATTCCAAGCCACTGGAGGAGTTCCTG